CAATTATGAGAAAAAAAAAGTCAGAATTGCGAGTTTATATCACACAATTATGAGAAAAAAAGTCAGAATTGCGAGTTTATATCACACAATTATGAGAAAAAAAACATGTCTTTTGACCTTTTTTTCTGTTTTGCAAAATATTTGTCAATACTGACTTTCACAAAATGGCTGAATAATAATGATGCTATTTTCATATTCTGATTATAAATAAATAAATAAATGAGGCTAAACAAACTGAATTATGGGTTTCTATTGTTTGAGAATATGTAGATGTATTTGCTAACCTCTCTGCCACTGGGCATGGATCTTGTTCCTGTAGACGGAGTAGCAGCGATCTAAAGCGCTGAGGTAACACTGGATGGAAAGCTTGCCGTCCACCACTGGATACTCAGACACCATATCTGGCTTATAGAAATCATACGCATGTTGCATATGTGTCCCACGAAGCCCTGTTAAAATAAGTGAATAATAAGATTTACTTCATGAAATACAATACGTTACATTTTGTAAATAAAGTTATGTAAATATAGTGGGAAATAAAAGTGTTGACTTTAACCTTGGTATCACAAAGATAACAAAACCAGTTTTGTTCGAGCTCTCTAGGTTACTGTGAGAAAGGTCATGAATGCCGGCGGTTCCTGCAGGCCTCATACCTCTCTCGAAGGCCAGAGGGGCGTTGGGTCCGACTAGCATGGCCACGGCTCCGGCTCCCCCTGTCGGCCTGGCGCCGCCCATGGCATACACAGCAATGTCACCCGCAACAACCAGAGCATAACGGCCTGCCACATCAGATCATATTAGAGCGAGTCTGCACTCAGCAGGCAAACAATTCAAAATGAAGCAGCAATATCAGATACGTCGAGTCTTTTCAGTGCATGAATTCCATGTTCACAATTCACCGAATAAGAGCTTAAATAAAAACACCAAAAAATATTTTGCATAGAAGATAATGAAGTGTTTAAGGACCATTACGATTTTTTTTGCAGTGTAACATTGTTCACATAATAATTGAGGATATTTTCTCCCTAAATTCTTATTTTTTTTAAACTTTGTCATTTTTAATGACAGATAAAACTTAATAAAACTTGTAATTCCCATTATTCAAAAAAATTTCACTCTAATGTAATAAAAACATTTTTTATAAACCGGAGAGTTCCGGTCCTTGATTCTGATTGGCTGAGCCGCGTTCGAAGCTGTTGTAAATTACTCTACAAACATACACCTTTGTTTACTTCTGTGTGTTGCTCGGCAACCACTTTGTTGCAACCACAACTGTTTCTGAGGAGCTACATTGTTTGGTGGAAGAATACTGTTTTTATTAATATCATTACACTTTATTTGCTCCGTTTTATTTTGTGAAACCTTACTATGTATATGGAATACCGTTTTATAAAAATAATAATCCCCGTGAAGCCGTGGTTTACAGTGAATTTATAACAGCTAAGGGGGTTTTCTCCGCTTCGTGTGGTACTTAACAACGCCCTTTAGCTGTTATAAATTCACTGTAAACCATGGCTCTTATTGCTTTAGTATTTGTATTGTAATTGTATTTTAAATACTACCACGCAACTTATGTAATATAATATAACATCATTTAAAAAAATGTGCTTAACTGCAATAAATAAATAAAATAAAATCATGTTCCTAAAAACAGACTTCACAATCTTTAAGCAAAATGTAATTATAAATATAATTTTTCTTTTGGGAAGGTTTATTTTTTAATATATAATTTTGTATTAGTCAGTAAAGTGTGCCTGAGAAGCGCACCGTCCCAGGAGCTGGACTCCACCCAGTTGACGGCGTTGAAGAGCGCGGCGGTTCCTCCGTAGCAGGCGTTAGTGGTGTCCACTCCCTCCACGTCAGTGTTGCCCGACTCCTCGAACAGCTGCATCAGGACGGTCTTGGTGGACTTGGACTTGTCGATGATGGTTTCCGTGCCCACCTCCAGCCGGCCCACGCTCTGGTAGGACAGGCAGCTGCGCTCCATCAGCCGCTGCACCACCGTCAGGCACAGAGAGCTGATGTCCTCCCGGTCCGAGCAGAAGCCCATGCGCGCCTGGCCCAGCCCCACCGTGTATTTCCCCGCTCCGACCCCATCGAACTCTTCCAGCTCCGCCTGCTCCACGTACTGAGAGGGAACGTACACCTCCACAGCCATGATTCCCACATCTTTAGGCCATGCGGCCTCACAAACAGCAGGGAGTGATCCAGGCATCCTGAACGGACTGAGACAAGAATATGCAAACTTTTAGACAGACGTCTGCTTAATTTAGCCCACACACTGACTCACATACACCAGGTTTATTACAGTTTCAATCCCACTGAGTGGTTGACCCTTCAACAGACAAGACTGATATTAAGAAAACAGGTTCACTGCTTACAGATATCATGCAGATATACACAACTGGTCAAAAGTTTGAATTATGACTTTTTAATGTTTTTGAAAGATGTCTCTTCTGCTCACCAAGGCTGCATTTATTTAATCAAAAATACAGTAATATTGTAAAAAATTATTACAATTTAAAATAACACTTTTCAATTTGAATACATTTAAAAATATATTATTCCTGTGACGTAAAGCTGTATTTTCAGCATCATTACTCCAGTCTTCAGAGTCACATGATCTTCAGAAATCATTCTAATATGCTGATTTAATGCTTAATATTTTTTGTGGAAACAATGATACAAGTTTGTCAGGATTATTTGATGAAAAGAAAGTTCAAACAACAGCATTTATTTGAAATAGAAATGTCACGTAACATTACAAACGTCTTTACTGTTACATTTGTTGAATTTAATATGCCCTTGCTGAATAAAAGTATTAGTAATTATGGGGTAAAAAGTATTTTACCCCATACTTTTGAATGGTAGTGTATCATGGTTTCTACAAAAATATGAAGCACAACTGTTTTCAGCACTGATAATAATCAGAAATATATATTGAGCATCAGATCAGCATATTAGAATGATTTCTGAAGATCATGTGACACTGAAGACTGGAGTAATGATGCTGAAAATACAGCTTTGCATCACAAAAATATATATTTGTAAAAAAATATTTTCAAATAGAAAACAATTATTTTAAATTGTAATAACAGTTCACAATATTACTGCCTTTTTTTTTTTTATTAATCAAATAAATGCAGCCTAGGTGAGCATAGAGACCTCCTTCAAAAACATAAAAAAACCCCCGTAATTATTCCAAACCTTTATAAATAAATACATTTTATTATTTGTGTATAAATAAATACTACAGTAAATGATTAATGTTAATCGACCAAGCGGGTAATCTTTTGAAAAAATAAATAAATAAATTCAAACAAACATATCTGTGCAACACCATAATGATTTAATATGAGGAAGAGTCTAGTCGCAGGCTTTAGGAAGTGACAGAGGCACATGGCAAAGCCTGCTAGCCACAGGAGCTCTGCTCTAATGAGATTAAGCCTTCAGCAGCTGAAAGCACATTACCTTTAACCCACATAGACATGGCAGCTTGTCTGGTCACACACTTGACCACTCAGTGTGCAACAAAACAAGTGAACACTACTGGCAGGCGTTTATTTACACAGAACATGTGCAGAAACTAGGAATACCCAGAAACAAATGCATGATTGTGGGTCAAACTTTAAAGAGGCTTACAGACTATAAACAGCTAATCTGTCATGTTTCTTTAGTAAATCTGAATTACAGAAATTGCTGTTCTTGTTTGACTAGGATGATCTTATCATTCCTCTGTAACAATCTTTGCCTCTTAATCATCCCCTCATAGCATACTTACACCTGACTCTACATGTGTTTAGGAATATAACAGCTGCCATTGCTCTCTGATGGTTCGCTTACTAATAATAATTCCTTTTTGGTTTATTAGTAACTAACAAACGGCAAATCTAAGCATGTCTCATGGGTTGTAGTGCTGTAATGACTCTGGAGAGGAGCTGACGGACTGATGACCGCTAACAGTCCCTTCAGAAACAGCAGATGGTCTTCTTACCTTACAATCATATATTAGTTTCTCTCGCTGGACCGCTAGAATCGGAGAGCAGCGCCGTCAGGAGATCTCATAAACTCAGATGTCTGCCGAGTGCGCAGTCGAGCTGTGAATGTGAACGGATCGCTTCCGCTTCCGGAGGAACGCCTACTACGTACTTAAAAGTCCGGACATTGAAGTACGTAGTAAGCAGGAACTTTCAGTGTAGAGCGTAGTATTTCTAATCCTACTTTTCGGGACGCGCTAATTCTAATCTGTCATGTAAAACTGAAGCGTTTTAAACAATAAATAATTTTTGTGTTGCCTTAGTTTAACATTTTATTCAACGCTAATAATTTTTTTTTTTTTATAAATGTACAAATCGGCGCTTATTTATTATTTATTCAAGTATTCAAGTAACGTGTTTCTACTATTTTAGTATTTAACATTTGAAGACTTCAGATGCAGAAGCCTCTAGGTTCTGTCTGAAGTTTTCCTCTAAAATGATCGTTTTTATAAGGCTCTCCTGTGTTTAGGTTCAGTGATTTCAGTTTAATGGCAATAAACAGGTCCCTTTCATAGCCATTAAAGTGAAATCACTGAATCTAAACATAGGAGCCTGATAAAAACGATCATTTTAGAGGAAAATTTCAGACAGAACTTAAGAGGCTTTTGCATCTGAAGTCTTCATTTTTAAATCAAAGCTTAAAACATACTTGTTTAATCAACACTATCCCCAAATAGCATAATTTGTGTTATATGCAACTGCATTATCTGTGACTGTATTGGGCAAATGTCCACTTAACTGTTACTTTGTAATGAGTATTTGTTGTATTTGGTGTGCCTTGTAAAGTTTCCTTGAGCCTGGGAAAAGCGCTATATAAATTAAACATATTATTATTATTATTATTATTCAGTTGTATTCACAGGCTGACAGTATGCTATCAGCCTGTTGCAGGGACGGATGTTCATATTAAATTTAAGCTGATTTTATTTAGTGTTGCACAGATATTTTATTCAACTATAATAATACTAATAATTATGATTGTATTAATTATTTCGCTCTCAAATGCATACTGCCTACACTATTTAAATCTTCTAAGATTACTGGACTACTGAGAGAAAGTCATTCATCACTCATTTTAGCATTAAAAATGTAATGCACCTGGAAACTTCTTTTATAATATGAATTTAGATTAGACTTACCTACACAGCTGAGTTCAGTTCTGTAGTCGCTTGTTATTTAGTGAAACGCTTGTTGAACGCGGTATTAAAGACACACTATTTATACGGACGGTACCTGTGCGGCGCGCGCGCGTCTGTTTCTTCAGCGCTTTCCAGGCGGCCAATCAAAACACAGATGCTGTTCTGAAGGTCCTTATTTCCCGCCTCTTGAACTTCTCCACCAATAAGCGGCCCGGAAAGGAGGGTCGCGAGCGAGGTGCGCGTAGTGGTTCAATGGTGTGAGTGAGTGACGGTGAATGGTGAGAGAGCGGCAGCCAATCACAGCGTGCGTCTGATTTACTCGCCACTTCTGCGCGAATCGGCAGGGAAGCGTAACATCGTTTCCATGACTACAGGAGGCTGCACGGTGAAGTACATCCCATCGGAGGATCACCACACACCAGGTCCCTAAACTCCTATTAACTATTCACTGAATGACACAGTGTGACCCATAGACCGAAAATGTCCAGAAAACTATTTGGAAAAAGTGCCTAGTTTCCCTCTTCTTAACAGTCCAGCTTGAGAACGATGATACTAGTGTAAACTAGTGTTAAATACTATAAGAACAGCACTTTTAGAGTATTAATATTTCATCTAAAGAGTTTCCACAGAAACTAAATCAATAAAGATAAATGGGTCTAATTTATCACACTCTTGTGTGTTTTCTTTACACTCCTTTCTTTATACAAGACATTTTAAGTCGTCTAGTATATAATTTCTAAAAAAAAAGAGAGAGAGAGAGAGGGGGGGGATCTATCTATCTATCTATCTGTCTGTCTATCTTTGTCTGTCTGTCTGTCTATCTATCTGTCTGTCTGTCTGTCTGTCTGTTTGTCTATCTTTCTGTCTGTCTGTCAGTGTCTGTCTGTCTGTCTGTCTATCTGTGTCTGTCTATCTATCTGTCTGTCTGTCTGTTTTTCTATCTGTCTGTCTGTGTCTGTCTGTCTTTCTATCTGTCTGTCTGTGTCTGTTTTTATATCTGTCTGTCTATCTGTCTGTCTGTCTGTCTGTCTCTATCTATCTATCTATCTATCTATCTGTCTGTCTGTCTGTCTGTCTCTATCTATCTATCTATCTATCTATCTGTCTGTCTGTCTGTCTGTCTCTATCTATCTATCTATCTATCTATCTGTCTGTCTGTCTGTCTGTCTCTATCTATCTATCTATCTATCTATCTGTCTGTCTGTCTGTCTGTCTCTATCTATCTATCTATCTATCTATCTGTCTGTCTGTCTGTCTGTCTCTATCTATCTATCTATCTATCTATCTGTCTGTCTGTCTGTCTGTCTCTATCTATCTATCTATCTATCTATCTGTCTGTCTGTCTGTCTGTCTCTATCTATCTATCTATCTATCTATCTGTCTGTCTGTCTGTCTGTCTCTATCTATCTATCTATCTATCTATCTGTCTGTCTGTCTGTCTGTCTCTATCTATCTATCTATCTATCTATCTGTCTGTCTGTCTGTCTGTCTCTATCTATCTATCTATCTATCTATCTGTCTGTCTGTCTGTCTGTCTCTATCTATCTATCTATCTATCTATCTGTCTGTCTGTCTGTCTGTCTCTATCTATCTATCTATCTATCTATCTGTCTGTCTGTCTGTCTGTCTCTATCTATCTATCTATCTATCTATCTGTCTGTCTGTCTGTCTGTCTCTATCTATCTATCTATCTATCTATCTGTCTGTCTGTCTGTCTGTCTCTATCTATCTATCTATCTATCTATCTGTCTGTCTGTCTGTCTGTCTCTATCTATCTATCTATCTATCTATCTGTCTGTCTGTCTGTCTGTCTCTATCTATCTATCTATCTATCTATCTGTCTGTCTGTCTGTCTGTCTCTATCTATCTATCTATCTATCTATCTGTCTGTCTGTCTGTCTGTCTCTATCTATCTATCTATCTATCTATCTGTCTGTCTGTCTGTCTGTCTCTATCTATCTATCTATCTATCTATCTGTCTGTCTGTCTGTCTGTCTCTATCTATCTATCTATCTATCTATCTGTCTGTCTGTCTGTCTGTCTCTATCTATCTATCTATCTATCTATCTGTCTGTCTGTCTGTCTGTCTCTATCTATCTATCTATCTATCTATCTGTCTGTCTGTCTGTCTGTCTCTATCTATCTATCTATCTATCTATCTGTCTGTCTGTCTGTCTGTCTCTATCTATCTATCTATCTATCTATCTGTCTGTCTGTCTGTCTGTCTCTATCTATCTATCTATCTATCTATCTGTCTGTCTGTCTGTCTGTCTCTATCTATCTATCTATCTATCTATCTGTCTGTCTGTCTGTCTGTCTCTATCTATCTATCTATCTATCTATCTGTCTGTCTGTCTGTCTGTCTCTATCTATCTATCTATCTATCTATCTGTCTGTCTGTCTGTCTGTCTCTATCTATCTATCTATCTATCTATCTGTCTGTCTGTCTGTCTGTCTCTATCTATCTATCTATCTATCTATCTGTCTGTCTGTCTGTCTGTCTCTATCTATCTATCTATCTATCTATCTGTCTGTCTGTCTGTCTGTCTCTATCTATCTATCTATCTATCTATCTGTCTGTCTGTCTGTCTGTCTCTATCTATCTATCTATCTATCTATCTGTCTGTCTGTCTGTCTGTCTCTATCTATCTATCTATCTATCTATCTGTCTGTCTGTCTGTCTGTCTCTATCTATCTATCTATCTATCTATCTGTCTGTCTGTCTGTCTGTCTCTATCTATCTATCTATCTATCTATCTGTCTGTCTGTCTGTCTGTCTCTATCTATCTATCTATCTATCTATCTGTCTGTCTGTCTGTCTGTCTCTATCTATCTATCTATCTATCTATCTGTCTGTCTGTCTGTCTGTCTCTATCTATCTATCTATCTATCTATCTGTCTGTCTGTCTGTCTGTCTCTATCTATCTATCTATCTATCTATCTGTCTGTCTGTCTGTCTGTCTCTATCTATCTATCTATCTATCTATCTGTCTGTCTGTCTGTCTGTCTCTATCTATCTATCTATCTATCTATCTGTCTGTCTGTCTGTCTGTCTCTATCTATCTATCTATCTATCTATCTGTCTGTCTGTCTGTCTGTCTCTATCTATCTATCTATCTATCTATCTGTCTGTCTGTCTGTCTGTCTCTATCTATCTATCTATCTATCTATCTGTCTGTCTGTCTGTCTGTCTCTATCTATCTATCTATCTATCTATCTGTCTGTCTGTCTGTCTGTCTCTATCTATCTATCTATCTATCTATCTGTCTGTCTGTCTGTCTGTCTCTATCTATCTATCTATCTATCTATCTGTCTGTCTGTCTGTCTATCTGTGTCTGTCTATCTATCTGTCTGTGTCTGTTTTTCTATCTGTCTGTCTGTCTGTCTGTGTGTGTGTGTGTGTCTGTTTGCCTATCTGTGTGTGTGTGTGTGTCTGTCTGTCTGTCTATATGTCTGTGTCTGTTTGTCTATCTGTCTGTCTGTGTGTTTGTTTGTCTGTGTGTGTGTGTGTGTGTGTGCGTGTGTCTGTCTGTCTTTGTCTGTCTGTCTGTGTCTAATGATCTGAGTGGTCTGTTAGGCTTATATTCAGTGAGCATAACTGCAATGTATCGAGGTCCTAGGCCATTGAGTGATTTATAAATAACACTTTAAAATCAATCCTAAATGTAGTAGAAACATTAGATTTGATCAAGTCTGCGTTACTCTTTTACAGGAAACAAAGAAAAGGAATCTGTTAAAAAAAATAGTAGTGTCCACATTTCTTTCTCATCAAACTCAAACACTTATAAACTAAAAAAAAAAAACTTTACTGCACTAATTTTTGTTGCATAACAGGTATTTCAGCCCAGGGTGAGCAAACTACATTCACATACACACACAGTTGCTGTGAGTTTTTGGGTTTTGCTTCAGCAACTGCATTTTTAATGTCACCCCACACGTTTTCATTCGGCTGAGGTCAGGGGATTGAGCTGGCCACTCTGTACCTCAATTCTTTTTGTCTGGAACCAAGATGTTGCTGGCTTACTCGTGTGTTTGGAGTCGTTGTCTTGTTGAAACACCCATTTCAGGGACATTTCCTCTTCGGCATAGGGCAACGTAATCTCTTCAAGCATTCTGATGTATAACTCATCCATGATATGGTATACGATAAAACGGCCCAACACTACATTATGAAAAACATCCCCTTACCATGATTTTTGTGCCACCACATCTTCACAGTGTATGTATTATGTATGTGTGTGTGTGTGTGTGTGTGTGTGTATATATATATATAGAGAGAGAGAGATCCAACTGCTTTTATTTCCACCCACAGATTTATTTGCACAATAAAAGGAGCTAATATAAGTTAGCCCTTAAGCCCTGGAGATCTTAGAGGAAAAGAGAGAGAGAGAGAGAGAGAGAGATAAAATTATAATAAAAGAATATATATTTATATATATATAATTATTTATATATATTGAGAAAGTGAACTTTGGTAGAAGAAAACTCTAGAGGACACCTGAGGTAGAAAAGACTGGAATAAAACAGCAATAGACAATCTTCACATAAAAAGTACCACCAAGTGACAAGAAACAGCATCATTTCATACAGTTCAGTTCAGCCCACATCAAAAAAAGCCCATGCAATAACAGAATAACAACATGCAGTGAGCAACAAGCTGGTCGAGATGATGAGAACTGAAGAGAAGTGACAGAAGATGTGAAAAACTCAAGTAATACTGATTAGATTTTATGAAGCGGACTAAAACGGACACCTTTCCAGTATATAAAAAGACAGAGTGCATAACTTTAAAGCTTTTGTAAAGGCATAGAAAAAAAAGAAAAAAGAAATACACCCAAATGCAGGAACAAAATACGTATTTATGATGAGAAGTGTGGTTTAAAAAAACAAACAAACATCGCAGGAGTCAAGTAAAATGCATTTAGCTACCAAAATTCATATTTACATCTGAACTCAAGCTTGATCAGCCTGTATTCCACGATTTAGCATTAAATAACTTTACTTTTAAAAATAGTTTTGAAATGGTCACGTTTAAAACTGAGATTTGTGTGAAGGGAGTCCAAATAATGTTAACATTTTTTAAAAATGTCTACAGTTCATACACCTGACACGTCTTCAGAACATGCACAATGTTCATTGTTTTTGGGAAAACGATGCTTACGAGCACTAAAGTCATTAGCTAAATATGATCCCTCCACCGAAATGTTCAACAGCTTGCAATAGAGTAGATAACACATGAGGAAATATTCAGTTACAGGTGCTGAATACTCCTTTGCGAAGCTTAATCATTTACAAAACGCCTGTCGGATTTTCGCCAACGTGAACAGAACAGCACCAAAAACATGGCCGAGTAATCAACAGCTGAAATTACAACCGAATCATGAGTCAAATCACAACATAAAAAACTGAAATGGAGTTCCAGTGAGCCTTTCCAACAAGTAAAGTATAAGAGTTACAGACACACATCGCAGTCTAAAATCGGGTCATAGCTTTGAAAAGGTTCCCGATTACACCCATTAAGCTAAAACAAGTAAAACCAGATATTTATACACATGATCTCCATTCAGAAGTGAAATGAAACCGAACCATACCGGCATCGTAAGCATTCACATTCAGCGGTGCGCTAGTTCAACTAGCAAAGATTTGTCTTTCACCAAACCACATTCATGGTGTAAAACATGCACGGACCGAACCAAATGTGTTCAAATGTGAGGAACTGATCTCAGCCTCTCTATTACTAAAGACACTATGCATCAGGTGTTGAGGCTACAGCATTCAGGGCCCTGTTGGGTGACTGTGGCAAGAGAAAGACAGAAGAACTCTAGGCAGTAGGAGCACACGACAGCAGTATGAGGCACAGTATCTTCAGTAGTCTACCAGCTGTGACGGAAGACGGGATGCTTCAGCAGCTCTCTGGAGGCCGGTCGGTCGGAGGGCTGGAGCTCCAGGCAGCGCAGCGTGACGTCCCGCAGGCCTGGAGACAGGTGCGGTGGGATACCGGGCGTTGTGGTAGCGCTGGCGATCTGGGAGAGGAGACGTGATGAGAGAGCTGGGTTAGTAGATTAGTCAAATAGTGTTTAATGTTTACGTCTAAAGAGAGGCAGGAGGTCAAATACACACATGTGCACAAACAAATCTATACGTGTCAGGGCTGGGGGAAAATGCCTCAATAACGTGTTTAAAGAAAGGCAATAAACTGATTTTTGTGCCGACACTTGTAAAATCTACATACTGAATGTGCTGCATACTGAGGGACACTTTAAAAGTGCACACTCAATTAGATTCCAGATACAGTTTACGGTGTAATGAAAAAACCAGTAATAACTAGAAAAAGATTTTTTGCATAATCCAGAAGTTTTACTTATAAAAAAAAAAAAGCTCAAAATACACCGGGACTCTTATTTTGAAATGTCTATGCAATCTTCCAACATCTATAACATATGTGACCCTGGAGCACAAAAGCAGTCTTAAGTCGCTGGGGTATATTTGTAGCAATAGCCAAAAATACATTGTATGGGTCAAAATTATTGATTTTTCTTTTATGCCAAAAATCATTAGGATATTAAGTAAAGATCATGTTCCATGAAGATATTTTGTAAATTTCCTACCGTAAATATATCAAAACTTAATTTTTGATTAGTAATATGCATTGCTAAGAACTTCATTTGGACAACTTTAAAGATGATTTTCTCAATATTTAGATTTTTTTTCACCCTCAGATTCCAGATTTTCAAATAGTTGTATCTCAGCCAAATATTGTCCGATCCTAACAAACCATACATCAATGGAAAGATTATTTATTCAGCTGTCAGCTGATGTATAAATCTCAATTTAAAAAAATTGACCCTTATGACTGGTTTTGTGGTCCCGGGTCACATATTAACAATATTAAACCATAAAGTAAACACTGTGATAATTCATCAACACTAGCACATGAACAATCATTTGGCATAAATGCGCGGTTTTCACTGATCGCGAACCGCTCTGAAATCACAAACCCATAGAATGTGCAACAGCACCGCGTTTTGACTTTAAACACGCAGTGCTCGTGTTATTCAACTGAATCATATTTTTGTAATAATTACATTAGGCAGTATGATCATTCTTGTTTTTCAGTTCCTAAATTTAAGATAATTAAGACTTCATACTATTTAAGACTTTTTATGGCCTTAGCGTAGGGCTGTGCGATATTGAAGAAAAATGCGATAGCATGCTAAATAACTCGATATTCGATAAATTTTTTTTTTCTAAAATCACTTTCAATTGTATTAAAATATATTAAAAAAATTATATAACCAACATATGTTGGTTATGTTATTTATTTTATTATAATTATTTATTTTTTTATAATTATTATTTTATTTCAGTTAGTTTTTCAATAACTGATGTTAGTTTTGTTTCATTTTAGTTTTTCATTTATTTTGACATTTTTATTTTATTTCAGTTTACGAAAATGTTTTTTGATCAGTCGTTTTTGTATTAGTTTTAGTTTTCGCTTACGAAGATAACCTTGAACGCAAACCATTGCAATATGCATATCACGATATTTTGATAATTTCAATATATTGTGCAGCCCTACCTTAGAGTTCACCCAAAAAATTAAAATTAGCTGTTAACTTTACTCAGCCTCAGGCCATCCAAGAAGAGTACAGAAGATTCTTAGCTGAAACCGTGGTCCTTAGTGAAAGTGAGTCTAGACTGAGTAACTTGTAGAGCGATGCTGCTCGAGCTGTGAACTGTTTCAGATGCTTCAGTCCGATTAGATGAACTGGTTCATCTAGTTCACTCAAAAAGAATCAGTTCAAAATAAAGATTCATTTGTGAACCGGACATCACTCTTCACACTGGATTACAGGTAATAATGTTGGAAATAATGTTTAGTTTCTTTCACAGAATGATTGTTTCGCTTCATAAGGCCTCAATATAACATCAGGAACCATTGATTGATTTTGTGTTCCTTGATATGCTTTTTTTGACTCTCAAAGTGACGATTGACTTGCATTTTATGAATCACCAAGGACCACAGTTTCAGCTAAAAATCTTCTTCCCTGTTCTGCTGAAGGAAACAAAAAACCTCAAGCTTTTGGGTGAACTGTCCCTTTAAATTTGGTCAACCTGAATTTAAGACTTAAGAAACTGCAGGGACCCTGATTCTATGAGTTGGAATTTTTAGCAAACATAACCAAGTTTTTTGACCATAAAACGTGTGCGCATACACAGTTCTATCCTAACCTTGAAAATGAGTGCCAGATGGTTGGAGTGTTTCTCGGCATTCCAGGGCGGCTTCGCACACGACATCTCTATAATAGCACAGCCCACACTCCAGACATCACAGCTGCGACCGTACTGCTGCCCTCTCAGCACCTGCACTCACACAAATACACCGGTTCACAATCACAATCCTGAGACATCTGTAGAAACACAGAGACCATTTAATATAGCTGCAAGAAAAACAATTAAGAACATTAAATAAAATCTAACGCAACTGCCATTAACTGACATGAAGCAGCAGGTGCATGCAGGGGCTCACTGGGTGTGAGAACCGTTACACCTCTAGTATTTATGGCTTGTGGGCCACATTTTGAGTGTTTTGGGAGTTAACCAGCTAAAGAACTGTCTTACTGAGAGTACATTTAAATTAAAAGACCCAAACAAAACAAATAACAGAAGACATCAGCCAGCCATTCAAATGATGAACTGAGCCAATTCAAATGTTTTATTTCTCCACACCATGTATTGTGAAGCCAGGGCGCATAGGTGCACAACTTTGCTTGCTCTCTATGCTCTGGACATTTAAATGTCAATGTCCTTCCACAAAACCGTGGTCAAGTCTGGTGACCTCTCTGTGTGGTGTTCAGAGTTACGTGGCCAGTCGGGAAAACAGGACAAAGTGGATTTAGATCTCTGAGTAACATGAAATGAAAGTAAACGGCAGTTCTTTGAAGGCAGCCACAATTGGCCGACCCCTTAATTCCTTGTTGTTATTGTGTGCCCAAACTCTGTTTAATTAGGAAGCAGTTCAGCTGGCCCTGCCTCCCCCGGCAGGGTGTTCATTACTGAACCTCTTCAAAATGAACAAGCTTTCTTTTGTCTGGGAAGGTCTCTCTTTCTCTCAGTCTCTCATTTTCCAACCAAACCACCAGAGCTTTGAGCACAGTCTGAGCAGGGTAACTTCTTTTAAGTAGTTGAATTAAATAGACCCAAGCAAAGTGACTATTGTGCACCTGAGTTTAAAACCAGATGGATCTATAGTTTGGCTGTACTAGCTGCATTTTGACATATCAATAAATATTGCAAACACAAGAAACTTCGCCAATGCAACATACGGTCCCATTTGAACGCAAGTTGTGAAACGTAGCTATACGTTGCTATAACGCTAAACCACACACGCAACACAAAACACAGTCTGTTTAAACGCTTCACTATAGTGAAGAGGCAGGTTTTGCATTTTTAGATTCAAATGTTTACCTCAGGAGCCATGAAGGCAATGGTTCCCCGGAGCTGACCCTGAAACTCTCCCGCACCGGTGCCTTTTGAAGCCAGCCGTGCCGCTGCCCCAAAATCAGCTATCCGCAACCTCTGGCCTGTGCTGTCAATAAGTAGATTGGCACCTGCATAGGTTAAAAGAAGACTGTGAATATGGGAACATGCATAAGTTCTGCTCCAAAACCTAGCGAGCCGCTTTGCTCCCCACTTACCTTTGACGTCACGGTGGATGATCTGGTTCTCGTGGAGGTAGGAGAGACCTCGTAGGAGCTGCTCGGTGTAGTTGATGATCACACCCTCTTTAAAGGCACCATACTTATTTAAGAGATGAGACACAGAGCCACCTAAGAAAACAGGAGTCCGAGTATGACTTTTATGGACCAGGACAATATCGGGCAAAACAGTGACCGATAAGTGTTGCTTGCAAAGAGGAAATTAGCCAAAAGGACCTCTTGATAATGTATTAATGCGCTGTGAGATCCCAACACAGCTACTACCTTTAAGGTGCAATAACATTTGCCATTTTCGCAGGCGAAATCCAGCCAATTCAATAGGAATCCACACAATTGGGAATTTGTGTGAGGACAGATTTAGCAAAAGTTAGTCATGCAAATGCACCACCATCACCAAAAGAAAGCTGCTTGGTTTAAAAGTGGCATGTTTTGCCCACAGAATTTTGCTTATGTTTACTCTCTGCATGTTTGCGGACAACTAACCTGCCATCCACTCCACAAACAGGTTGTAGTTGTTCTTCTCACAGGTTGCCCCAAGCATTCGGATGATGTTGGGGTGGTTGAGGAGACCCATCATGCGAATCTCCTCTCGTAGTGCCTCCACCACCTCTTCCTGCTCTGAGGAGGTGTTCCTCACATACGTCACCTGAAGAATAAAACCAATCTCAATCAAGCATTATGTCTGCATATAGTATGTTCATTCATTACGGCCAAAAACAAAACACATTCAGCCCCCTTTGTGCCTATATTTAGTGCCTTTGCATACCCGGCAACCCCGGGTATACCTTGTGTCACTGTTGTTGTAAGGGACCAGGCAACATCGTCTCAAAGCAGTTTTGAATCATTTTTGTAAATTTGCATTTACAACTAGCACACACAGATCCTCCTTAAACATGTTAGAAAAGAGCAAAGGCTAGTCTGAGAAAATGGTGGACATCGAAATTGGCTAAGGTAGGATTGATCAGTAATCAACGGTGAGGATGATGCAATAGATCAGTGGTTCCCAACCCTGGTCCTGGAGGCACCCCAACACTGCACATTTTGCATGTCTCCTTTCTCTGACACCAATTTCATGATGACCTGAATCAGGTGTGTTTGATTAAGGAGACGTGCAGTGTTGGGGTGCCTCCAGGACCAGGGTTGGGAACCACTGC